CCTCCTCCTCCTCCTCCTCCATATTATTTTTATTATTATACTTTATTCATTAAACATGAAACTAAGTCAACTGAACATTCAAAAATGCATCACAAATACTGGTGCTAATGGTTGACACAGGTTGCTGCCAGCATCCTAGGTATCAACTAAGTACCTTCTTAAGATGTACGATGTTCCAAGTAGCACAGTTTTTTGCAGTTCCACTGGAGTTATTGCAGGAAGCTGCAATTTGTTGATGTATTATTATTTTTATTATTATACTTTATTCATTAAATATGAAACTCAGACAACTGAACTTTCAAAAATGTATCACAAATATCATTGACTGGTGTTAATGGTTGATACGGTTTGCTGCCAGCGTCCTAGGTATCAACTAAGTACCTTCTTAAAATATAAGATGTTCTGACTAGCGCAGTTTTTTTGCAGTTCCTCTGGTGTTATTGAAGGAAGCCACAATTGGTTGATGTATCTTACAAAATTCTTGGACATGGTACCAAGTGTCCCGATGACAATGGGTATCACTCTTACATGTTTTATCCATAATTGGGTAGTTTCGATGGCCAGGTCGCGGTATTTCGTGATTTTTTCCAATTCTTTTTGTCCAACTCTGGCATCTCCTGGTACTGTGATGTCAATAAATTGTATGTTTTGGCCCTCTACAACCATGGTATCTGGTGTGTTGTGTTCCAAATGACGATCCGTCTGTATTCGAACTTCCCACAAGATCTTAACATTCTCATTTTCGGGAACTTTTTTCACTTTGTGCTCCCATGTCTTTTTGGATACAGGTAAGATGTATTTTTTTACATAATGACTAGTGGATTAATGTAGCAACTTGGTCGTATGATGAGGATAATGATGATGATGCTCAGGCCGAATTACATATTGCACACAGTCTGCACAACATCTCCACGGTTTTGGAAATAGAAAGAAACAAAGCTAAAAAGCTAAATAACAGCTGTTGTAAAGAAAGGCTGTATCACACAGAGGAATGAGGGCTGCCCTTTAAGCAAAGTACCATCAGTGCTTGTTCCCTGTCCTAATTATTCTTTTACGCCACTGTGTAGAAATAAAAAGAAGAAATGCTGTTGAGAATAGTGGGAACAATCCAGTCCTAACCCTTTGGAATATATGTCACTTCATCTTTTCTAAATGTAGCCCTTAGGAAACCAAATTCAGAAAGTGTTGGTCGTGTTGATTCTTTCATAGGCATGAACGCAGTAAATTACGCCATTTGTCGTCATATACAACAACTTCGTATCATACATCAAATCAAATTATATCTTGATGAATACATAGAACAAACTGCCCATTTGATATCTGTGGATAGGTATGTGATTGCACACATAAGCACAGAGCTTAATATTGAAATTGACCACAGCTGAATATTCAAGTCCTTCACCATACTTTTCTTATCTCGTATTCATTGATTATCCTGATAAGGTTGTTAAGACTGATCAATGTGATATTTTGACAGATTTTGATCTGATCAGCACTACAATAATTAATGTGTGGACTGAAGCATATCTGTAATTCAGCTTCCTGATTCCAAATTTCTTAGTTTTAGAAGCAAGTGCATAAGAATGTACTTGGGGTGGGGGGTGGGGATTATGAATGAAGATCAAACCTGAAATCCATCATTATAATGATAGTCCATTCCAGAGTTAATTCACCTTGCTACCTATCAGAATAGAAGCACTTTAAATATAGAGGAACTACACTGTAACACTGATATTATGAAAGTGCTCAGTTTCATGAATACATCTAAGTATAGCAAACCCTATAAGTCAAGACTCTTGAAGCCAATAAATCTGTGGTTTTAGACAATCCAGGTAGTTTTCAGTCTATGACCACAATTAACCATAAAATTTCTGTTGCTAAGTCAGACAGTTATTAAGTGAATTTTTCCCAATTTTAGGACCTTTTTAGCCATGGTTGTTAAGTGAATCACTGCAGTTGTTAAGTTAGTAACAGGGTTGTAAAGTGAATCTGGCTTCCCCTTTGACTTTGATAACACAAAAAGTTATCACATGATCCAAGACACTACAACCACCATAAACATATAAATATAAACGCTCATAAATATATGCCTTTTGCCAAGCATCTAAATTTTGATCACATGATCTTGGGAATATTGCCATAACTGTGAAAATGGTCATAAGTCACTTTTTCCACTGCTGCTGTAACTTCGAACAGTCAGTAACAGTCAGAAGAGTTGTAGGTTGAGGACCACCTGTACATATATTATTAATTTTTATTTGTCAAATTATATCCTACCTTCCCTCCAGGAGTTCAAGGTAGTGTAGATCACATTCTCTTCTTTGATTTGGGGAGATAGATAGGACTGAAGAATAATTCAAAGTCACTGATGCATTACACAATAACGTGTATTGAAGATCAACCAGAAATCGTAGATCTGTGTGTGAGATAACAGATACCTTTAGAGATTAAAATATTTAGGAGTAAAATGCAAATATTTCAAACTATAACTTAATTTGGAATTAAACATGCAGTTCCTGTAAACATCTATATATACTGAGTTGCTGATTGGCAGTTTATAATCATTTGTCTTATCATGAAAGCTTTTTAGTTTCAGTTTTAATTATTGCAATGTGATTGAGTGTCTTTGCTGTAATTTATATGCTACATACCATGAAGTACTGCATAATTTACATTAATGAGACACTGAATATGCCCCAGCTAGAAAATATATGGGGAAATAGCCCACTCCCTTTAGTAATAGATACACAAGGGAGAGAGAGGTAACTTAAAGAAAGAAACAAGATTTCAAGATACACAGTTCATATTTTGAAGTGTTTGTCATAGTATTAAAATTTAGGGAAAGATTATTTGGAGCAAGTATAATAAATACATTAATTAATTCAGTACCACTCTAATTACATCCCACTGGTCTTCGGCTGTATAACTTTCCTATCACAGGAGAATAAATATTGTTTGGAAATGACAAACTTTTCCCCTAAAATATTAACTCACTTTAGTTCCACTCCCTTCCTCTCTCTCCCTTCCTCTCCCTCCTTCCCTCCCTCCCTCCCTCCATCCCTCTCTCTCTCTCTCTGTGTGTGTGTGTGTGTGTGTGTGTGTGTGTGTTTATGCACATGTATGGTTGTGCGACTGTTGTCTACTTTTATTATTTGTATTTTGTCTTTTATNTGTGTGTGTGTGTGTGTGTGTGTGTGTGTGTGTGTGTTTATGCACATGTATGGTTGTGCGACTGTTGTCTACTTTTATTATTTGTATTTTGTCTTTTATGTTCCCCCCTTTTTTCCCCCCTTGAATTGTTCGCCGCCCTGAGTCCTCCCAGAGAAGGGCGGCATACAAATAATAAAATACAAATACAAATACAAATACAAATACATATTATAATAAATACCCTCTACAAACAGTTCAGTCAGCAAAATCAAATAATTCCGAATATGGAATATGACTGAACACAACTTTTGTTCATGTCATGGACAAAACCATTAGAGCATGACACCTTTTTACTATGAGTATCCTAATTGCTATTGTGATTGTATATCACCCTTTCTGTTAGCACAGTTATAATTTCCACATCATAACTGAAAAGATACACACTGAGCCACAATATTTTTTTTTTCATCTATGAATAGATTTTAAGCTCCATACCCAATTTGTCATCATCATCTCTCTCTTTTTTTTGTTACATGCCCGTTTTTTTCCCCCCTGAAAACTTTTCTATGCTGTGTTAACACTGAAATAATTAGCAACTTGTATGTTTGCAACAAAATGCTTTCCTAGTTGCCAGGCCTTTCACAGCACGCCAGATGAGAAAACATTATGGAAGAAAAAATAATTGGTTGCTTAGAGAGATGGAGCAAGGGGGGTGGGAGAGGGGGAGAGACTGACTTTGTTTGTTTACCTTATCTGTGTAGCTTGGCAGGGATCACCATCCTTCCTATTCCCTTTTCTTCTTCATTAATATGGAGAGCAGAGAGCTGGCCAGGCAGTTGCTGGAAGTAACTGGTAGGAAAATGCTAACAGCCTTTAGTTCGTCCCTTTTCAATGTTTACAGTCCCAGCTCGCCAAAAATAACATTACGCCTTAAGCAGACCTGAAGATTGTCTTCCCTCCATACATCACACGATGAAACCAATTCTGAACTCCTGTGTTTCTCAAATTACCCAGAATTGGATAAAAAGGTGATTTTTCTTTGGATAATGATATACAAACCCATAACCCAATCACAACAGGGACATTGAAATTGACTCCAAGTGTTTTACCTAAGTTAGGTAAAAAGGATTTCCTGGTAAGCGGTTTCGGCTAAGGAAAGAAAAAAACACTGGTTTGATCCATCTTGTTTATTTATTAGTTGGATTTATATAGCCCACCTTTCTCACTACCAAGACTTTGAGCAGCTTACAAATACAAAAAACACTCAGAAAAAAAATAGAATCACTAAAATCATTCAAAACAATACAACTATTAAAAAAGCATAAATCCGTCATCTGCAGGATAGCACCATTCCCTTTTTACAACCTTGTAATCCTTTAATTTGGGATAGAATCAGGGTAACTGGATGTAGCTGAATGCTTACTGGTCGGATGCCCTTCCTAATGCCTACTTCATAGATGTCAAACTCGCAACGTCACGTTGTCATTAAGTGACATATCGTGATGTTTTTCCCCTTCACAGAGCTGGGGTGGGCATCGCCTGTGTCTGACGCATCTGGCCCATCGGCCCCCAGTTTGACACCTCTGGCCTACTTGGAATTCACAGCAATTTTTTTTTCTATGTCCACCCTAAGAGAGGAATTTCTGCTGCTACCTAGGATTGAGCACTGAACTTTTTGAGTCAGAAGCAAGTGTCTTTACCACTAAGCCAACATGCCACTCATTTGTCATAGGGCCGTGATGATGAAACTATGGCACGCATGGCCAAAGTGGCACATGGAGCCATGTCGCCTGGCACGCATGCCATCGCCCGTTCCTCTTCCAGGTTTCTGGGGCGCATTTGCAAGCAACGATCAGGTGGTGTGCATGTAGCAGTGCTGGAAACTTGAAGAGCTGGTGTTACGTTTTCTGGCATGACCATGTGCTCCAGCCAGCTGATCAGCGCGGGCTCATGCACGGCAATAACTAGAAGACTTGCTGCCTGGGGCACATGTGTGTGCAGGAAACCGGAAGTTCATTTTACGGCATGCGCAAGCACCCTGGGCAGCTCTTCTTCCTGGTTGCGGCCCAGATGAGCGCATGCACGCATGCGAGAAGTGCTCCCTTTTCGGCATTCGGTGCCAAAAAGGTTCACCATCACTGTCATCGGGAATGCAACCATACTCATTCAAAATATGAATATATTAATTCAAAATATTTTGAAAGAATAAAAAGTGGAAAAAAATATAAGTTATCTTTCAAATACAAAGAGAGAATGAAAGACCAAAATTCTTCTGTCCATTTTTTTTCCCCCATTAAAGACCTTACCTTTTTTTTTTCATTGAAATCTTTCGTAGATTTTGAGATTTGGGGACCTCAGCCAGTAGCTCATAATGATTTTTTTTTTACACATACTTGATTTTTCTAGCATTGATTGGATAGTTTTGTTTTAATTCAGCATTTTTAGTAATGAAAAGTGACACCATCATTTTTCATAAAATCAAAGTAATTTTCGCTTGTAGTTTAAAATACAGAAGTCTTTTAACAGATGTTGATAACTAAAAAAAAAGAAAAACACCACCACCACTCTTGTTGGCACATATTATTTGAGCCAGTTTTCATTTAATCAAAATATAACATTATTAAATCAATGTCAGAATTTATAGAAAAAATTGCAAGGGAAATTATAAGAGTTACAATTATGTATTAAATACTTTTTTTAAGTAAAATTATGCATTATTTTTGTTTTCCAGATGGAGCTTGCAAAGGAAGAAAAGTGTGAATTCCTACCTTTTCTTTCTCCTCAGAAGGTTGTCATAAAAGGAGGAAAAATTGTTGCTATGGAATTTCTCCGGACTGAGCAAGATGAGGATGGAAATTGGAAAGAAGACAAGGAGCAAACTGTCCGTCTGAGAGCAGATATAGTGATTAGTGCCTTTGGTTCAACCTTAAATGATCCTAAAGGTATTTCTCAGTCACAATGTTTATGAATCGGCCACAGTCAAACACTTAACATTCCAGAGGGGAAGTTAAGCTTACAGGTAGTCCTCAATTTAACGATGGGTTGCTTAATGACCATTCAAAGTTACGACTGCTCCATCCTCCCGCAGTAACATTTTGGGCACTAGGCAACCAGCTCACCTTTATGGCCAGGAGTAGCATCCCATATGACCACAATTTACTATGCTTTTTGCTGGTTTCCGGGTTTATATCCATTAAAAAAAAATCTCCATAAAGGAAAATGGATTCACTTAACAACAGTGGTGGGATTCAGCCAGTTCGCACCTATTCGGAAGGACCGGTTGGTAACTTTCTAAGCAATTCGGAGAACCGGTTGTTGGAAGAAATCTCCTTTTGTTTTTTCCCTACTTTACAGGGCTAATCCTGTAAGGAAGGCAGGAAGGAAACATTCTGGTGTTGTTTCTAGCCTCATCTTTGTTGACCTGCTTTCAGAAACTGCCTCTCCAGTTAACCCTTATTACATTGTAACAGCTAAGGCCCATCGACCTGAGTGACCTTGAGCTGGCCACGCCCACCCAGTCACTTGACCACCGAGCCCCACCTACCCAGCTGGTCATCAGGGCAGAGAACCAGTTGTTAAATTATTTGAATCCCACCACTGTGACAGACCTAATGCACGTGTGCCAGAGGTGACATGCAGAGCCCTCTCCAGCTGCCCTTCGGGGGTTCCATCATGCGCATGTGCACTGGACAGCTGGTCTGGCCCACATGTGCACAGAAACCAGGTGCTCTTCTGGGTTCTGGCACACACATGCATGGCGGCCAGCTTCATGTGAAAGACCAGCTGACCGCCGCACATGCACAGCCTGGATGCCAGAAAGCAGTGGCCTCCACACTCATGTGCACAGGCCAGCTGCTCTCTTCTGAGTTCCGGTGCTCTGGCACACGCATGAGCACACACTCCAGCTGTGCCATTCAGTGCCGAAAAGGTTAGCTATCACTATTTTAATTTTACCCTCGCCACAACATATGACAGTCTCAAAATTGTTCAGTGAGTTCCTTATCTAAAGAGTGTCTTGAAGATAAATAATCTTAGATGAAAACCAAGACCAAGATAAGAAATGATGGGAATTGCATTCCAAGCACATCTGGAGGGCCATATGTAGGTTGCCTGTATTTCTGAATACCACAGTGGTATGGCATTTGTTCAGAAAAACCCCTGCCAGAGAGGTTCTAGATCTGGAAGCTGAATCCAGACAAGGACTCTCTGTGTCCTTTGATTTTTACCTTATTCAATGAAATATACAACGGCAACATGCTCTCTGTCAGCAAAGAGGACAGTAAACCTGAATCCCACATACAAGTGGAAATACTTTAGGAGACCTACATACAGAGGTGGGTTCCTACCAAATGTAATTTTCAAATAATCTAAATATTACCTTGCTTCTTATTTGCTTCATTTGTATGCTACTCAGTACCAAAGGGTCCAGATCAGAGATGGTATTCAGCCAGTTCTGACAGGTTCTGGAGAACCGGTAGCGGAAAATTTGAAAGTGGGGAGGGAATGGGGATTTTGCAGTATCCTTCTGCTGCAGAGGTGGGTTCCTACCAGTTTGCGCCTATTCGGTAGAACTGGTTCGTCAAATCTACCGAACCGGTTAGAAGAGGTTCCACCAGTGGACCCGGNGAAACATTGCTCTAACCATTTCTAACCATCCAGCAGTGTGATCTGATCATAACAGGATGCAGGAACTAAAGTGGAATGCAAATTATTCTCTACCTTATTCTATCCCAGCCTGTCCCATCCCACTCCAATCAATGGATTGTGGATGAATGTTCGTGAAAAGAATAAAAAAAAGACCCAAGACCTCCATACTTTATAAATACAGGCTGATATGAAGTTAAATTAATGTTGGCAGCTTTTTTTTTTAACAAAAGCAACATATGTGAATCCTCTAATAAAATGCAGCCTGTGAAAGTTCCACAATATGAGTCAATATTAATTACGTGCAAAAAGATAATAATTTTATCTTCACCTTTCTGCATCTTTTCAAAGGCAAAAGACCTTTTCCCTTTGCCCACTTTTTTTTGTTGATTGTGCTTTTGAAATACTTTCCCTCCCTGTAAATATCTCTTCATTTGAGCTTTCTAAAAGTTAGCCTATTTTTTTTAACCAGTTTCCCAAAGAGATATATTCTTGATAACCCCAGCTGTGAAACATACGGTTTGCCTTGTTAATACCGCAGTATAAGACATAATAGACATTTGCCTCTTATTAGAATACATCTTATAACAAGTGGCAGGGCTGTGAACTCTTTAGTGGCTTCCTGTGTAAAACACCTATTAATATTGGCCATAGTCTTAAAGATCCTTGTATTCTGAAATTGCTAGGCACTTTAGCAAACTGATAAATCATTGAATTATCAGTTACAAATATTTGCTCAGCTTGAAGCAGCAGGAAGAAAAGGTCAAAACACAATGGGAGATACTCTACTCAATAAATTTCAGAGTAAATTACTTTCTTACATTCTTTGTGTATGGAGGGGGGGCTATACTCAAAGCTGTATTGATTAGTTGCTTCCCATGTGCAATAACTCTTTTTTGTCCATTACATAGTATTCAGTATTTTACAAAACCAGTTAAGATTATTCTAGATTGTTTTTTCACATGTCATTGCTAATTATTTTTCTAAGATGATCAACTTGAACCAGAGAAGAATCTGCTACTTTATTTAGCTTATGATTAAGATCAGGAATGATATAAATTGTTTAAAGTTAGCCTAGCAAGGAGGAGCTAANAAAATATTTCTTCCAACAACCGGTTCTCTGAACTACTTAGAAAGTTACCAACCGGTTCTCCCGAATAGGTGCGAACTGGCTGAATCCCACCACTGTAGAATGGACAGTAGGAGGAAGGAGAAATATAGCTCTATGCTACTATTAAGACAAAACTCTTATGTTTATTCAAAGGAGTTAGGATAGGATTATTGCCCTGTATTATTTCTTTCCCCCTTCATCGTACAAAAACGATATCTTTTCCCTCTAGGAAATTAAGCTATATAGCTGCATATACTAATAGGGTGCATAGCAGTCAGTGAGAACTTCAAAGGAAGTATGGGAAAGGAAGGCCCGTTAACATTTTTCTCACAATGTAATTTTATAAGCATTTTTTCCCCAAAAGAATACAGTATATGAAATTAATCCTCAAGCTACTGTATCTATGAATGAATGAGTGGTTGGAAAACTTGGGGGGCGAGAGGATTCCAGGGGTTATGGGGTGGAGGGGGGAAGGTATCCATCACAAAATATCCTCAGCAGCCGCTTTGAAAAAAAATAAAGCAGTACATCTTAGTTTTAAGTTTTAAGCTTCCATGCTTAGAATGGAATGGAATAGGAAAATGGAATGGAATGGGAATAGGAATAGGAATGAAATAAGAATAGGATGGAATAGAATAGGATTAGAATAGGATTAGAATAGGAATAGAAATGTTTGTTGGTGAAGTGTGATAAGACACACAAGGAATTTGTCTCCAGTGCCCCAACTCACAGTGTACATATAAACTGGAAGTAATAGGTCATAATAATAGTTACAATCATTAGTTACAAACAACAATAGATAAATCATAAAGAACCAACAGGACAAGATGAGAAATAGGAGGGGATACCCAACCTAGTACTGTATTTCTCTTTGACTCATTTTTTATTACTGTCTTTCTTCTCTGTTTTATTTTTATTTTGTTACCAACTGAAATGTTTCATGGACTTTTTGTAACAAGGTTAGAGGTTATATTATTATGTTATGTTGCATATTCTATTCTATTCTATTCTATTCTATTNTTATCTAAGTTTGATATATGCGAAGCAAAAGTTCTTTTTAAACTCCACTGTCTTTGTGTGGAGCTAGTTGAAATTGTTACTATTTCTTGAACAGCTGTATTCTAAATATGCAGGGAAACAAATCAAATTTTTCACTGAAAGCAAGTTCTTTCTCGCTGTCTGATTTCAGGATTGCTATCTTCTAATAATAGTTGACGTTATGAAAGGCAATATGTTGACCATGTATCAAGGAGCTAGAAATGGCAGTGAGTTGCTCTTCTAGGAGATCTCTAGTTATATAAAGGCGTTTACCCTGCAGGCTTGCTCAGAAGGAAGCCCCACTGCATTCACAAAGAAGGGCATCTAAGATTTCAGCTTTAATAAGATGCTGAGCAGGAGCTCACATTCAGTGGCAACCTGAATAAACAGAAGTTCTAAATCCTGTATGCACCAGAATCATTTTGACCATACAGATATCTGGGAATCAACCTTAGAAGTTAAGGAAAGTGAAAATTCTGCCCACCCAGTTCTTCCATGTTGCTCAGTCAAGACACCAGAAAATGAAAAGGAGCTGTTAGTAAATGGCATGTCCCATTGGTTTACCATGCCCACAGACTGCAACATTTAGCTGATAATAATGAGATGATTGGCTTTTAATGCAGCTCACACGTTTCATGCCACCACCCAGCAAAACAGCTGGAAACATGGTGCTTGGTAAGATGTTCCAGCAATAGTAAACAAGGTAGCCATTAGCCACAAAGGCTTCAAAGAGCAGCAACAGCAGCTTCTCTGCTATTATCCTGAAATAGCCATGCTATACAACAAATCTTCAACCCAGGCAGTCAAAGGGCTAACACATAGCCAGGGCAAACAAACTAGTGGGGGCCATGTGCATCCAAAATTAAAGAGGACTCTTTATGCTAGGGTGTGCTTTTAAAACAAATGGTCCAGGCAAAAGAGAGACGAGAAACCAGTAAATTACAGAGTCTTTGCACTACATTACAATCCTTGTTCCTCGGCAAAACCAAGCATCTAAAGATGGATGAGCCTCAGAGGAATGTTAAGTAGAGGTTGTGAATCAATAGACATTTTGTAAAACATCCCTCAAGAAGCCCAAAATGGCAAGGGAAAGCAGAGGAGCTTGGTAGATGAGTTTTGAGTTATTTTATTATACTTCTATATTGGTAGTAAATGCAAGTACTGTATCTCTGTAATAATATGTGGGCTATATTTGCCTCCTTTGCTAAGCGAA